TTGGGTAATCAAACTCCAATCAAATCTATCCAAATGAAGCGCTTAGTGCCAATGCGTTTGTCCAGAGGTCGATTTGTCTTGCGAATACGCAACAGCAAGGGATATTAACCTTTATCGTGATAAGAGATTGATAAAAATCCGCCGATGTCCGTAGAAGCGAAGAATAAACAGAAGAAGCCGATCACCTTCGAAGAGGAGAGTAGCTTCCAGCCTTGCCCCGGATTTGGGACCGAGATTATATATGTTAAGAAATGGGAGTGGTTTACATGAAGAATTCAAGTATCGGAAACACACCAGATATGGTACAAGCATTATAACAAGATTAAACAGAATGATTGACATGGGAAATTAAGGGTTTAAACATAAAAATGAAAATTGGTTAGATGAGATAACAACAAAAAATTTTTGTAGGAAACAATTTTAAAGAATGTAAATATGTTAAGAGTGATTCATAGTATCATTAGCATTAACTTAAAATGTGAATGAATTTATTTGAGGTTTCGTTTTCACGACATTTCTACTTTCATAAAAATTTAGCACCATTAATGAATAATTTTTTCCAGACTAATTTCTCAAGAACTGCAAACAAACTATGATGAAATATGCTTTTCGACTTATCTCAATCATTCCTGTCTTTTAATTCTAATCAATTTCTAATTCACTGATTTCAAATATTTATTGAATTTTGGTATAAAATTGAGTAAATAAATCAAATGTTTCAACTAATTCGCTTATTAAATTGCATTCAGTTATTGACTAACATTGTTCCTAAGAAAAAAAATGCCTGAAGATGATATCATTTATTAGAAACAGTTAGTATCAAAAAATATTATTTTTTTTAATGAACATTTCAAGGAAATGTTTAACTCCTCAAAAAATACGAAATACAAAATGCTTCAAGAATAACAAAATCGTAAAATCTAGAAAAGAACTGGAATTTAAGGCAAAAAAAAGAAACTAGGCAAATGAATGAGCCAATCAAATTCATTTCCTTGACATTTCAATAAAAAAAAGAAAAAAATACATTCCGAAAAATGAAACTACTTCATTTGTAGTAGTACAGTCAAATCCAGTATTGTCAAATTCGGTATATAGTGGCATCATAATCAATATCATTATCACTAATTAGTCATCTTTATTATCATCCGTCCATTATTGCTCTTATCAATCTATTCAACGAAGACAGTCATTTGAAAAAGCGATAATCCCAAAAATGAATGTAAAACTAATGTCATCTGTGCTGAGAAAGCACGCTAAATCAGTTGGTTACAGGTTACAATATTTTTAACCTGTAAACAGGTCAAAACCTGGCTACAAGTTACAAGTTATTACTTGGTTACAGTATCAGATGGCCTATTAATTTCTTGTCAAAGGGCTAAACCCCACTATATAAAGATTTAATTCAAACAAAGCTTAGATTATAAGATAAAGTAGAAGGCCTAAAACACACATTTCTTACTTTCTAACAAGTTCGACCGTTTCTATTGGTAATAACGGACACTTTCGGGTGACAGTGACGTGCTCTACCATTTTTTGGCAGGTGGCTGTTCTACTAGCAACCGTATGAATCGGCAATGATGAATATCAATTTCAAGCAGACTCAATGTAACTAATCATTACTGATTAGTAACTTGTCTATCATTAATAAATGAATACTTATGCAAATTATACCGGTCAGTTTATGGCAATTCAAAATTAAACGTAATTACTGTCAATTTCGTTTGAACTGATAATCAAATTCTTGCAGCATTTTTCGGCCTATATTATCCAATTTCTTAACACTACATCTAATTATTGTAATCATACATCTTTACATTGTGAATGATTTATAAAAACTTTTAAACACATAAAGAAAAGATGTCGCTGACATCTCGAGTAGAAACAAAGGGACAATAATCCCCCCTTTTTTTTTGTTTTATATGCTCATATCAGAAGAGTCTAGAAGATTTAATTGAGAAGATAATCACGACCAGTAAACCACCGACTTTAAATCCAGTAGAATTTGATGGCAACCGAAGAATGTGGGCCAGTTTATTAGCCAGTTTGAAGAATCAATCCACAGGAGGACGGATTTGACGCCTATACAGAAGTTCATGCATCTATTTCTTAAGCAGTTTGAAAGGAGTACCAAAAGAACAAATAAGTGACCTCATGGTAAATGAAGAAAATTACTCGCTGGCGCTAGAGAATTTGTATGAACGATATGGTGATAAAAAACAGAATAAAGGAACTATATAAAAGCTTAGAGCTCGATGCTCAAATAAAGAACCATTTAGAATGATAAGGGTGTTTTTGAATTTACTATCCCAATTAAAAGGATTGGGAGAAAACATAGAAAACGGCACAACTGGGCGTGATAGTAGCTGATAGAATACCAGAAGACATGGCTAAGGGCTTAAAAAAGAAGAAATACAGGGACCCAGAATGGACAATGGGAGATACTATTAAATACCTAAAAGAAAAGATGGAGATCGAAGAGTCTGAAGTGAAACTACCGGAAAAGGGAAACTTAGTAGACAGGACAAAGATGCAACGAGCAAGATCAAATGGAACAAGATTCGCGAATGGAGGAGAGTGGCATCAGACGTTCGACAGTTTGCTCAACAGTGAAGGAGAGAATATATCCCAGCAAAGTGACACAAAAGAAAGAGGGAAGTCGATTACCGTGTATTTTTTGTGAAGGTAACCTTTGGAACAACAGATGTGACACATACCCTACTGCTGACGAAAGGATGGAAAGATTAAAGAAATTGGGAGCCACCCACAAGAAACATGCATGAGAAGAATAAAATGTTTTTATTGCGGATCTGGCACACTAGTGCTTTGTTAGAAAACACAACAAAATGAAGAAGCAGAGCAAGAATTTCAAAAATAGTGAGGAAACAAACATAAGCCCAAAAACAGTGGCGGCCACGGTTGCAGATGGTAGCATTTGGGATACGTATATGATGTGTAAAGTAAGGCTAATCAATCCAGATGGACCAAGAAAACATCAAACGCCTTAATTTTCTTCGATACAGGAAGTGATTGTAATTATGTTACAGAACCAATGGTAATCAAATTGAATTTAAAACAAACATCACTGAGTGTGGGAATGTTAATAACAGGGATGGTGGGCACAAGGAAATATGAAAGCCGAAAGATAATCTTCGGAGTTCAAACGCTGTCCGGGAATGTGAAGAATATCCAAGCGTACATTGTCGATTCAATACTTGAACGGATACCGTATGTAACAAACAATAGAAGAAACAAACTAGTTGAAGGTAAATGGGGAAAACCGATGTATTATTAGGCGTAGAAGGGATTGCAGATTTAATCATTTGTAATTCCATAAAGCGCTCACCACGGATGATTATGGAAACAAAAATAGGGGTGGTCGAAGGCGGCACACGGAAAACGACACAAGATAGTGATACAGGAAATAGAAATGACGAGTCTTATAAATTCCAAACAATTGCAAACATAGCAATGAAGGAATCGCAAATCCACATGGATCAGATTGAAGAAACGTGGAAATTAGAAGCAGTTGGGATTAGAGATTTAATGACGGGTTATCAGGATGAAAAAAGCCCTTAAAGCTTTTCAAAAAATCG